CTTGTGATCCCTTTAAATGGCAAAGGCCGCTAGATCTTCTAGTGGACTTCTTGGAGCCTTTCTTGTTATTTTGACCGCTTCTCCACTTTTTGTGGATTTCCGAAGCTACTTTCTTGTAGCCCAATTTTGCAGCGATTTGGGAGGAGGCATTAAAAGCAGTCTACTGCAGGCCGGCACTTGAAATGAGGAAACCAAATGTATCTACTGTAAATCAGATATGCTTGGGGCGTGCATGCAGCAATCTGTACCGGTCTCGCGCCAGTTGCCCATATAAATGCGATCGTAAGAACTTTTGACTGTCTAATTCCCACTCTTTTCAAAAAATGTATAGAGAAATCGAGGATTTCAGCTATGCGTAGGCCCAGCTCTGAGCAACTCAAGAAAATCTGAAGCTAAGGAGCTGCAAAATCGTTTGATCAGCATTACTATGGTTGCGGGACCGGCTGCCGTTTCTTCGACATGCCTTCTACTTCAAGCAGGCATTTTTATTCTTGTTCGATCAAGATGCATCCTTTTAAACTAGCTCTTTCTTCTAATCACAGTACCTGTGGTCTGAATAAATATGAAGTACTAGTATTATATAAGAGAATATTACACTCAAAGGTCCTAGACAAGGCTATAAAAACCGGAAAATGAGTAAATTCTGGGTCACGTCCTCTGCCCTTTTCTGCTTCGAAGATAGGGAAGCTTCTTGTGAACCACCATAACACTCTTGGAGGAGGCTATTGCTCATCGTTTGTACCACATTAGTACTGCACTTTGCTTATCACATTATCATTTTAGACTTTTGAAAATCACGAAAATTATATGATAATTAATGGTGATTCAAACTACTTATTGTAAATATGAGTAGCCCATCAACGCAAAATTAGTAAGTTGAAGCTTCTTTGCGGTGCATAAAGTTAGCACCAGGACTGTTGAGCTTGCTCTTCAGATACAATAACATTCTTTAAGATTCGAAAATTACATTATTCTCCTCAACTTCGTTCCCTCCTCGTACCTTAATGGGCTTATTCATTCCAGTGGCCACCCCATACCTGCCAAACAACTCCAGCCTTAAGCAGTTGTTACTAGACCTCAGCAGTCCCTCCACTCTCTGCTACGCTTAGTCGCACATTTAGTGGAGGCACCCAGCCTCTACCAACTTCTCTAAATTGCAAATCTATTCTCGATATCTGTTTGTACGCAAATGGATTGTGTTCATTGCCCCCACCAACAGCCTGCTGACTTATATTTCATGCAACTTCGGCACACGTTGGGCTCTAGAATCAGGATCAGGATACCAATCACCAGAACGTTCACATTGAGTTGCTAGTGTCTCGTCATCCATCCATCGTGAACGCATTGCCTGAAGTTGTCACTGCTATTGGATGTCCAACAGTATGAGTTCCACGCCTGCGTTGGCAAGCGACCTCGATCATGACCAGTGCTGCTCGACGTCGTTATTGAAGTTGAGGGAGTCTGTTTTTAGACTGGTCCATGTTGGACGGCAGTTATTAACTGCAACTGGGCATATTGTAGTTTTGGAAGCATTTTGCTTAATAGAAGCGCCTGAAATTGAATGTTCAGGTTTGATGCGAAAGCCGATTATCTAAGGAAGAAAAAGGGCCATAAATCGTACATTGAATGCCTCATTTGACCAGTCATAGTGATTAAATTCACTTTCAGAATGACTACAAACCATTCAACGCTTCTGACGAAATAAGGAATGTCCTTTAGAGGTGAATAGTGTGTGTGTGTGTGCAATGGATGCACTACACGGCGGAAGCCTTCATCGGTGAGTCAGCTTTTTCCTTGCGTAGTATTATCGTGCTCCGTTCGAGGTCGTAAAGGTCATTTATGTGTGTGTGCGTGTGTGTGTGGCTGTATGTGCGTGAGAAATCGCATCCACCGCCCTGCTGCTGTCCTCAAGCGCACATACACCCAAAATGTGTGTGTACACATTGTAAATGAAAGAAAATCCATGCGATGCGAGGCTGCCGGTGTGGGTTGTGTCGCGACCCTGAGCGTTTAGACTTCGAAAACTTTCTGGCCACCCAACCGACTGTGATTACACCACGTGTGTGTGTGTGTATGTGCACAAAAGAGACCTCATCAAATTACCTCAAAAATAGGCCAAAAATTTGCTTAATTCGTAAGTCCCAAATTACTATAGAGCCGTCTATTTCAATCTCCACTGAGAGGTCCCTATAGCGCTTATCTATGACACCGTCAAAAGAAAGGAAATGGTTAATGTCTTCGTGAGGGCTTTTATATCTCCTATGGGTGCCTGACCTTCAGGTAGTGCTATATTGGTGGCGGTGGAAAGTAAGACTGATCCTGAAGGATAACTGCCCTGTTTTCAAATTCTGGGTTTTAGACCTTAGCGTGTCGAAAGAATGGAAGAACATGTGACGACCTCTAAGGGAAGGTCTAAAAATGACGTCCACCTTCTGCAACTCTTCCAGTTCTGTGTTTTGCAGGAATGCTAATAACAACTGAACTGTTCGTTACGAAGCCGTCTACGGTACCTCGATGAAGATGTCAAGCAAGTGCGTACGCGATACCTTTCCCGACCCTCCACTAGCTGGATAGAACCCAGATAGATAAGACTAGGCAGCACTGAGGTGTGAAAAGAAGGGATAAGAAGGAAGGGACGTGAAGTTATCGCCGTGGAGAGGTGTTAAAACCTGTCACTCGTTATACAGCCCGGTCTTTGGGTTAGCCCTTCCACGACTAGCGATGGGAATACAAGGTGGTCAATACAATCCCCATACAAGACAAAACTGCAGACCCATTAGAATTGGCAATAGAGATCAGTGACGTTATGGTTGAGCATCCTCTCCGTTGCACGGGAATTCGATGACTGGCACGGTCGGTTCGTCCCCGACGCGGGAGGTTTAACAAGGAGAGCGCTGATGACGACGCTCAAAAGAGAAAAGAGGGGCTATGTAGTATTTTAATATTCGCTTAGGCCTCAGTTTTGGCAACGGATTACTTAGGACTCCACCATCGTGCCTTCAACGAGCTGCCTGGCCGCTGGGGTGAACTATTAGTCCCACTCCCTTCTGCATATCTTTATTACATTGCCTGCCCGAGTATTGTGTGTACTCCCGTCTTCAGAGAAGTCTCGAGACGCTACATAGGCTCCTTAAACAAACTCCATTACCTTTGTTTTCTTGAGATAATTCTAATGATGCCGTCCTCAGTTTATTTAATCGCTGCCTGGGAAAGGTGAACCTCCATTCAGCTCTTGGCGATTACCCATGGCGCTTTGAAAACCCCTTTTTATTTGCATAGTGGACAGGCGGCGAGTGAATTTTAAAGAGCACTGAGGCCCATTCCTTGATGCCTCTCCTAGTGATGTTTTGAGGTCATGAAGTTGCCTTTTATTCGGTGCCCGAACACTTCTGAAGAGCTCTACAGTAACTCGACGGCAGTACCTACCTCATTACCTCCTTTTCGTCGGTGATCATAATTTGCGTTCCCATAGGAAATTCAGAAAGGCGTGAAAAAAAACGATGAGGTAAAAAAATTTCCCATGCGTAAGTCGCGCTTCAAGCGCATAACACTATTTCTGTGTAGCTCCCTCCCCACAGCTTTATGCGTTGCTTAATGCCTCCTTTTTGCGTCTCCATACATCATTCACCAATTGTCATTAAAATTGCGTATTTTAAAGCACTTTCGTGGAAAATCATACTGTACTAAGCCCGAAAACGACTCTATCATTTCTCTACGGAATCAGACTGCCTTTTTTGTGCCACTTGCACTAGCTTGACTCTCTTTCTTTGTGGAAGGGAAGGAACCTTGAATTCCTAGACCACCTCCTAGTGGGAATGAGCTTAAAGACCTATTTGCTGTGAAACCGTGGATGATTAGTTTCCTTACATAATTTCGCCACCAAATGGGCAACTTCAGCGATGTTAGGATGATACGATCGGTCGTGTCGAAGGATCAGCTAGTACCTTGTCACGCTAGAGCCATCCATACCGCATACTTCAGTACAGTCAGTCCTGCTTAAAATTGACAACCCCGCACATGCTACTTGTTTGGTGGAAAGAGTGAGTCCAAGGGATAGCCTACTTCCTGACTACATTCCACTCCCATCCCCCGAAAGACGAGACCTTGGTCTACTCCACTGAAACGAGTTCAACAGACACTGACCGAGCAGATCAGCACTTTCCACT